AGCAGCCAAGCGTGCCCTCTTAAGCGACCGAGTGTTGGCACACTATGAGGAGGGGCGCCCACTGGTGCTGTCGGTGGACAGCAGCGCATATGGGTTCGGGGCTGTACTCGCCCACCGATACCCAGACGGCACCGAGCGCCCCGTCTCCTGCGTGTCGCGTACACTCTCTGCGTCCGAACAGAATTATAGTCAGTTTGACAAGGAGGCACTCGCAATACTGTTTGGCGTAACAAAACACCACCAACATTTATTTGGTAGGCGTTTCCTATTGCGGACGGACCATCAACCATTAACGCACATATTCAGAACTAAAGGCGGAATACCGCAGACTGCAACGAGCAGACTGCAAAGGTGGGCAGCGCGATTGGCCGCGTATGAATTCGACATAGAGTACGTGCGATCGGCGGATAATGGTCCGGCCGATGCGCTGTCACGGCTGCCATTGGCTCGGGAGAGACGCTCCGGAGACGACTTAGGTTACATAAATTTAGTTGAAGATATTTTACCTATTAATTTTAAAGATATTGCTAAAGAAACAGAAAAAGATACATTGCTAAGTAAAGTAAAAGGTTACATACAATTCGGTTGGCCGTTGGGCACGAGTTGCGACGACGAAAAACCATACTTCATAAGAAAGCAGGAATTATTTATAGAATTAGGCTGTATAATTTATAAATATAGGATAGTGGTATCGACCACCCTTCGGAAACAAATCTTAGCTGAGAACCACGAAGGACACTTAGGCGATAGTAAAATGAAAAATCTATCTCGAAATTACGTGTATTGGCCAAGTCTGGACAGAGATTTGAAAGAGTTATGTCGGTTGTGAAACTTGCCGCGCGGTGTCCGACGCGCCGCCGCGCGCTTCGCTGCACCCGTGGGAGTTTCCACTGCACCCTTGGCAGCGTCTGCACGCGGACTTCGCCGACTGCGCCGGCAAACGCTTCTTAATTATGGTAGACGCTCACTCTAGTGGATCGAGGCGATTGAAATGCGAAATACCGACACACGGTCGACAATAGCTGTATTTAGGAACATTTTTTCACAATTCGGTTTACCATCCCAACTCGTGACAGATAACGGCGCACCTTTCGTCGCACGAGAATTTAAGTTATATTGTACGAATAATAATATAAAACACGTGACTTCAGCTCCTTACCGACCACCGGGGAACGGCCCGCGGAAAATGCCGTTAAAACAGTAAAAAAGCTATAAAAAGGGCTTTGCATGAGGGCAAGAACGTCGCCAATCTAAATCGATTCAAAAAAAACGACCTAGAAAAGCTGAAACAGGTGGCCCAATTAAAAACCTCCGGCCTTACTGTTGACGAGCCACATAAGCGCAAACCCAGAATTGTGATTATTGGTGTGCCTACGTCTTTGCAGGATACCGAAGTAGTGAACTGTATATTTCAACAAAATTTAGCCGACAAGCTGCAGGGTATGTCTCTTGAGTCATTTTTAAATAATATTAAATTAAGCCATAAGTCTGGAAAGAAAAACACCGAGTCCTGCAATTACATATTTGAAGTCGCTCCACATATACGTAAGGCCCTAATAACAAACGATAGAGTCTTTGTCAACTGGTCGTCGTGTCCTGTAAGAGATTTTACACTAGTAACTAGGTGCTTTAAATGTCAGCAATATGGTCATGCTGCCAAGACCTGCCGGGAGGAGACCACCATCTGCGGCCACTGTGGTGAAGCCGGTCACACAATAAAGGACTGCACTAAGAAGACCGAACCTCCTAAATGTGCTACATGCTTGCATTTTAAGAAGACCTGCGACCACCAAACAGGAGATTTTAAATTGTCCCGCGAGAAAAATTGCCGAAAAAAGGTACATTAATTCAATAGATTATGAAGGCGCCTAAGAGCGTCACTCACTAGTTTTACTTAATAGATCTTAATTTAATTAAACACTATGAGTGATAGTTTAGTTCGCGATCTAGATAATTTCTCTGTATCAGAGTCAAAGTCTTGTGAAGTTGAAATGTGCAGACAATATTTATTATCCCTTAACAATCCTCTTTCCATACTAACACAAAACATACGCAGCATTTACAAAAATTTTGACGCTTTTAGTACTTTTCAGCATAGAATTAACATTGACTGTGATGTCATAATTCTGACAGAGTGCTGGTTAGATAAATGTAGAAATCTACCTCCCATGCCAGCCTATAGCTTATACAGCTCTAAAGAAAATTACAACCAGAACGACGGTATAGTGGTTTATACTAGGAATAATTTAAATATCTCGGTTGAAGAACCAAGTATGTTGGACTGCAATCGGCTCCTAATCAAAATTGGAACAGACATTGCAATATTAGCATTGTACAGACCCCACTCTTTTAGAAATACCAAAATGTTTACTGACTCACTTAACGATATGTTACAACTTTTATCAACTTTTAAAAATGTAGTATTAATAGGAGACATAAACATAAACATTCTCCCACATAGCATCGATTCCTGTGCGCAAGAATACCTAAACCTATGCTCTTTTCATGGATTACTACCCGCCCACACTCTCCCTGCACATCAAAGCGGCTCTTGCTTAGACCATATTATGCTTAAATCTATTTTTAAATCAATAAAATTAGTTACTAACTCTACAATAACCGATCATAAAGCTGCCCTACTAACCTTAAATTGTAAATTGCTTAATTCAACTCGCACGCAAATAATTTCTAAAATTAATATAAATAAACTTGAAGAAGATTTATGCAACATTGACTTTAACCCAGTTTATAATTCTGATGACGCGGATTATTGTATGTCTTACTTAGTAAATAATGTACAGCTAAGTAATAGCAAGGTCATGCGATTAAATAGTAAAAATTACAATATCAAACCTTGGATTACACCAGGACTTATTCGCTGTATGCCTCATAGGGATAAACTACATATGAAGGCAAAAAGTAATCCAGCTAATCTAATTCTACAAATATCATACAAAAGATATAGGAACTTTTGTAACGACCTACTTAAAAAAGTTAAAAGCTGTTATGATAAAAAAGAATTGGATAAAGCTGGTACAGACAGTAAAAAGGTTTGGAAATATATAAAAAAGGTAACCTACATATCGAAACAGCATAAATCATCTTCAGGATTATTAAAAAGCCAATCATCTGATTGTATTGCTGTTAACAAAGCAAATGAATTTTTCGTTAAAATCCAGAGTTTTCCGCTTACTCAACCACGTTGCTCTCAATCCATCTGTAGTAAGTCTCTGGGATCATTTGTAATATTAGATACGGATGAAAGTGAGGTTGAAAGAATAATTGTAAGCTTAAAAAGCGATAGTGCTACTGGTTGTGATAACATATCTAACAAAGTACTAAAACAATTCAGGCACATTCTACTTTCACCACTTACGCACATCTTGCAAAAATGTTTAACAAAAGGAATATTCCCCACGTGTTTAAAAAAAGCTGTTGTGGTCCCGGTACATAAATCTGGTAACAAAGAACAAATAACTAATTATCGACCTATTTCGTTACTTCCAGCAATATCTAAAATATTAGAAAAACTTATTAACAATAGACTTGTCTTGTATTTGGAGAGACATTCCATTTTATCTAAAACACAGTACGGTTTTAGATCTAAATTATCGACATCTGACGCCGTGCATCATCTTACGAATTTTGTTGCAAGGGAACTAGACAAGGGTAACAAAACTGTGGGTATTTTTCTAGACCTAGCGAAGGCTTTTGATACAGTTTACATCCCTGTGCTGTTACAGAAGCTTGAATCGCTTGGTATAAGGGGCATACAGCTTAAATTACTCGAAAACTACCTGGAGGACCGATCCCAATGTGTTAAAATAGGTGACATTCACAGTTCTGATCTGAAGTGCACTTCATTTGGAATTCCTCAAGGAAGTATTTTAGGACCAACACTTTTTCTGATTTACATTAATGACCTTTGTAACCTAGATTTACAAGGTGGAAAGATCATATCCTATGCTGATGATACTGTTCTACTCTTTTCTGCAAACTCTGACAAGGAGGTATACGACTATGCACAGCGTGGATTCAATACTGTAAATAACTGGCTCCAACATTATTTGCTAACACTGAATACGGATAAAACTTGTTTTATGCAATTCCATATGCGGAAATCAAAGTCATTTATATCTAACCCTAAACTATATGCTCACCATTGTTTTGAACCTACTAACAACCTGCGTAAATGTCCAGACATTGCTATTACTAACAAGATAAAGTATTTAGGTGTTATATTAGATGATAACCTATCATTTAAACACCATATCGAAGCACTAAGCGCCCGACTCCGTAAGTTAATGTTTGTGTTTAAAAAACTACGCGTTTCTGCTGATTTTAAAATAATCAGGCAAGTTTATTATGCATTATGCCAATCATTAATTACTTACTGCATTACATCATGGGGTGGTATAGCTAAAACTACTTTACAGCGAGCTGTCCTAAAGGTTTCTACCTACCGCCCTTTCCGTTACCCCACTGACCTTCTGTATAAGTCATGTAAAGTATTAACTGTAAGGCAATTATTTATTTAGTCCACAGTCCTCAAACAGCACGTATTGCTCCCATATATTCCTGAAAACACTAATAAAAGACGAAAAGATATTGTCTGCCCCAAAATTATATCATCAAAACATACTTTTATTTCAAGATTTTTTTGTGTTTCTTGGACCATTTTTGTACAATAAATTAAACGCCAAATATTCCATTTATAATTTCTGTTGCTTCAAGGTAAAGAAAATTCTCCAAGAAGCTCTTCAAAATATGTCCTATGAGGATACAGAGAATTTATTTATTATCGTAAAATAAGTTTTGTCTTGTATAAGTGTAAATTTTTTTCTTGACTGGCAATTTATTGTTTAATTTTATTTCATAAGATTCTCCTAAAAAGTATTTATAATATTAATAGTATCCACGTTTTATAATTAGTAGTACTTTTTACCTGAAATACAGGAAATTCCTAGTTCAGGTACATGTGTTATTTTTACATTAAATCGCATAAGTAGTCTTTAGTTTTCTCTGTACATTATGTTACTGAATAAACAATTTTAATTTTATTTATTTTAATGCTTTAAATCGGTTTCTATTTCAATATAGGAATTGTGAACATGCAACAACCGGCAGTAGCGCTGGAAGGCAGGCGATTGCGCGGGCGGCTCGACGCGATGCGGCCCGACGTGGCGGCGGCGGCACGCGCGGCACAAGAACGGCAAGTGCGCACCGCTGGCGGAGCGCCGCGCCACATTGACGTCGAGGACACGGTACTGGCCCGGGATTATTCGGTAAAGGGGGATAAATGGGCCGAGGGTATGATGGTGAAAAAGACTGGCTCAGTTTCCTTTAAAATTGATATGGGCAATGGAGTTCAGTGGCGAAGGCACGCGGACCAAAGTGACAAACAAAAATCGGTATTCCTTAACCTGTGCCAGTATCGTACCAAATGTTAAAAACGTCAATTCATCCCCCTCTGAGTCGGAATTGGGCAAGGATGCTGAGAAGAATGCGTTCGAAGACGCATCCGATGATTCGGTCGGGGGAAACGAGCGGGACGCGCCGGGTGCGGACGCAGTCGGAAATGAAGTCGAAAGTAATCATGAGTCGTCCGCACGCGGTCCTCACTCGCCACCGCCGACGGCATCGGGTGCGTCTGCGCATGAACTACGCGCACTAAACCGAGTCAGGCGAGCACAAGCTCGATCCATCCAAAATGTGTAGTTTGTGCCTATCTAGGCGGCAGTATTGTAATTATATACCTATAGATTATTAAGAGACAGGTTTTTAGAAGCATCGAAATGTATGTATTTTATGTTTGCTAGACTTACGAAAGTACTTTAGATTTAGATGGGGAGAAGATGGAACAACCATCGGCTTTTATAATTGTACGGTGGAGGGTAATTTGCACTTTTTATAATAAACCAGTCAACTGCTAACTCCCATGTTTCATTGACGTGTTGACGTATAATCCTCAGTCGTATAATCTTCAGTCGTATAATCATCAGTCG